GAATATTCCTTCTTGTGCTGGTTCTCCTTCAAATAGCTGGACTGCAGCTTATGTCCTCCCTCACCACCCCTTAAAAATACATTTGGAAGCACAAGTTGTGTGCTTCATGACATACAAATATTCCCATTTAATGTGGATAATTGTTATGGAATCATAGAATAGTTCGGGTTGGAAAGGACCTTAAGATCATCCAGTTCCAAGCCCCCTGCCATGGGCAGGGACACCTCACACTAAACCATGGCACCCAAGGCTCTGTCCAACCTGGCCTTGAACACTGCCAGGGATGGAGCATTCACAACCTCCCTGGGCAGCCCATTCCAGTGCCTCACCACCCTCACAGGAAAGAATTTCCTCCTTAGATCCAATCTAAACTTCCCCTGTTTCAGTTTGAACCCGTTACTCCTTGTCCTGTCACTACAGTCCCTAATGAAGAGTCCCTCCCCAGCATCCCTATAGGCTCCCTTCAGATACTGGAAGGCTGCTCTGAGGTCTCCACGCAGCCTTCTCTTCTCCAGGCTGAACAGCCCCAACTTTCTCAGCCTATCCTCATACAGGAGGTGCTTCAGTCCCTCATCACCCTCGTGGCCTCCTCTGGACTTGTTCCAACAGTTCCATGTCCTTTTTATGTTGAGGACACCAGAACTGTAACTGTATATTACACCACTTCTTGGTCTCCCTGCTTAGGTGGTGTTTTGCCTGGACAATACAAGATGCTAAACAAGGTGTTAAGAAGGTACTTAACAGGGGCACAAGTTTAAGGTGAGATACTGATTCTGCTGATGTTAAAGACAAATTCCCTTTGACACAGCTGAGACAAAGACTCCCTCCAGCATTTGGGAGAATGCTCTGTCTCCATCTACAGAGATGTTGGTTGGACTTGTCAACTCCTTTGAGGAGATCACAGAGAAGTTGGAGGAGGAAAGCATTCCAAAGTGTACTGAATGGTTAACTCCCCCAGAATTTGCTATAAAGAACAAGCCAAATCTGTAGATGAAAGCCAATTTCCCTGAAAGCTTGCAAATATCTGGCTCATCTGATTCTGTTTGTCCATAATCACCCGTAGCAGATCTTACATTCGTTTCCATACGGCCGTGTGGCTGCTGATTTAATGGAGTTGCACCAGTGCACTGAAGAATTATAAAAAGCTCCAGCCCAGTGTGTGTGTGCCTGTAGATAGAATTTTAAAAAATACCCTTATTTATACAGTGAATAGAAAGTTAATGTTTTGGCTTTCTTCTGGGACAATCTGTGAAAGAAAAACTAGAGCTGGGGATTAAAAAGAGTGTGCAAGTAATGTGTAAACCATGAAATTCAATTAGTTCCTCTCAGGAAGCCAAATTTTGGTGAATACTGTAGAGAAAAGGTAGGGACAAAATGCCTAAGCCAGAGCTGTACTTAATAAGCTTCAGTAATTAGTTATAAATGGCTCGTTAAACCTGGAAACACATCTCTTTTTTTTGCCCATGTTTATTAATGCTAAAGAAAATGAAGGATAGGGTTAAAGAATGATTTAGAAGACCTTCTATCCCAAATCTTCTACCAAAAGGGATTTTGGTGCTGTTGGAAGGTGGGCACAGAGAAAAGGCACATGGTGCTTGGCCTGGGTTTGTGGTGTGGGGAAGCCAGAGCCTGGGGGAACATGGGGGTCCAATGCTTTTGCTACTACTTAGGGCATCCCTATGAGTGTGGATGAGACTGTCTGAGAAAGGGGTATGGATATGGATGTTTAGAAGGAGTATTGGGAAAATACTGACCAGATTTGCCAATGAGGTCATGTTTAACAAGCTGTGCAGGAAATTAGAAGCATTGTCCTGTTATTGATGTGTCCCTTTTTTACCCCTGCATCCTCCCATTTTTGCTACATCCAGTAACAATTTGATATTTGAATTGTATAGTAACTCTTCAGAATTGGAAGGGTAAAAGGTAAATTGTGCTACAGTGTGTGATAGATTAATTGGCAAATGTTCCTGTTATTGTTTCTGGGAGCTCTACATCCACCTCACTATTCTTGTGTCTGAAAGGGCTCCCTTAAGTCAAAAGCACAAGTGAAAATACCGATGGCTCAAAAACAGAGCCGCAGCTCCTGCTCCACAATTCATCTTACAATCAAAGGTCCTTTGCTGTCAGTACAGGAACTGGAGCAACAAATGCAGACCATAGACAATTCCTTTTCTTGCTCCCTCCGCCCCATGCCCTCCAGAATACCCTGAAATACCACTCTAATCCATATTGTGAACAGTAAACACATTTGACGTATGAACTCTTTTTTGGTAAGAAAAGGTTTTTCCTGGCTGCATATTGTTAATCTCTTTTTGTATATGCACTTCTTCTGAATCTTCATTACTTTGAGAGATTGGCTACAACCTGAAACATTTCCAGCTTAAGCCTTTTTCAGGGGGAGTGGGTCAAACTGGAGTTCCTTGATCCATTGTTACTTAATTTCTGGGTCAGGTTCCAGAAAGACCCCTTCTTCCTCCTTTGCTTCAGATGGAAAACACTCAAGGATTGATTTTTCTGCTGGGAAACCTGCACAAGATGGTTGGAATTTCGTGAGAAACGTAACTCTTATGCTTCCCTAGAAGGTGGAGCTCCCTCTTTTGGGGCCACAGCTTCCAAAAGCATCATGGCAAGTCAGAGCTAGCTACTTTCTTAATTTGCTATCAACTCAACTTTACTTATTGATTTTCCTTCCTGGTTTACCTTTCAGCTAACTACAACCATTACTTACACAGTATCTCAGGAGGAGCTGAACATGCTCAAGGTGACAGCAAGAGGTGGATGGGAGCCTCCAAGCATGAGCCCAAGCAACATATGACTCTTTTCCTCCTGGTCTTTCACCAGATCATCTTTGGCCAAGTTAAAAGGCTGCTCCAAGCTGTGAGCGCTAAGAGTTAATGTGTTATAAGGTGGTTGAGGAGGAGTTTAGGCTTCCTCCAAGGTGGTGGCCAGTCTTCAGACCCTTTCTCTTTGCTGCCTATTGGTGACTGATTTCCAGCATGGTCTCAGCTTCTGGAGTGAGCACAGGACTGGGTTTGGAGTGTTTATGCCCTTAAAAATGTCTTCTGAAACCTTTCTCTGTAGCCTTGGACGTGACACTTAACCTTGCTGCCTCAGATTCCCCGTCAAGAAGGGGATAATAACACTTGCTTATCTACTCCAGAGCGGGCTTTGAGGATTAATTAGTTAATATTTGTACAGTGCTTTGAACAGAAGTGCTTGGTATTATCATTCTTACTTCACTGCCCCAGGCTCATTTTCTCCTTTGGCCTGATGTGCCTTCCTGCTTGTTTAAAAGCTCTTCTTCTTGTCTTAGCCCCGCTGTGTGGTGCCTTTGCCCTGCCTCAGTGCATGCTTTGCATGTTCACAGAATCATAGAATCACAGAACCATGTTCCCTGCATGGCCTTTGGGTCTGCACAACATCTGCAGAAGGATGAAGGCCAGCACTTGCCCTCATCCTCCTCCTGTTCACTCTAAGAAACACAGCATTTGCATTGTGTGTCTGAAGCAATGTATTCTTTTTCCACTCCATCCAACAGTGCTTCTTGTGGAAGGAACAGGCAGGCCAGGCGGGCACTGGAGAGGCAGTTTGCATGGTGTGCAGATTGTACAGTCCCTTGTTCTTTTAATCTTTTCTTTAAAAGAAACAAGGAGAAAGGAAGGAGGACGAAAGTGGGGGAAAAGAGGAGAGAAAGGAAAGCCCAAAGACTGTGTGCTTCTGCCTTGAAATATGCTTCCTGGAAAATATTCCCACCTAACTCCATTATGAAGATGATCATTGGAGCTGGAAGCATACACAGGAAACATTTTCCCGTAAAGCCATTTAAACTTCTAAGGCTGGTGAACTTTATATTCATGCTCATCACACCAGCCCCGGTGTGTCCTTATGAAGGTTCGTGTCCAGTTGCTCGCTCTTCCTCTGGGAAATAAGTCTTGACCCTGGATCAATGGCTGAGCACTGCTCAGTGACACCAGAGCAACAGTTTGTCAAGCTGCCCCAGTGATTTGGTGGTTTCTGCATTCCTTGGCCTTAATTCTGCCTCTGCCTGGGACCTCTCTGCTCCGTACTCATCCCATCTGTCACACTTTGAAGTGGGGCAGTGGCCATCCTTGTCCCCATATCTGCGTAAGACGCATCACAGTAGTACCACTCAGTCCTGCCAGGAAACAGCAGCAGCTGTGCTTTGGAAGCCCCTTCTGTGCAGTGTTGCCTGACCAGAGCAAAACGTTGTGGCTAAAACTTGAGTGAGAAAAACCTTGAGGATATTTTCATGCAGACAGGATATTCTGAAAAGTTTCTGAGGCAGTCGTCAAAACCATCAGTGGGTGAATATTTCATCTCTATTTCCCTCTGTTCACTTGTATATAATGGACTGGGCAGGAACTGTCTTTTCCTTCAGTGCCCAAGAGCTCCAATTTCTCCTTTCTCCCAGTTACTGCAAGAGAAAACCGCCTGCATTGTCTGAGTACCTTTAATGTGCAATTCCACCGGCCTAATGGGCACCTGATGGTACAGATAGATTTGATTCCAGATTTGGATCTGCTGACACAAACCTTAATGCTTTTTATTGTGTGTCACTTTGGGAAATCCTGATTAACAGCAACAAAGAGATAATTATGCAAGATGAAGACAATGTAGTTGTTTTAAAAATAATGTATATCATACAATTAATGCTACTTTGTCCTATATCAAAGTCACGCTACCTGCATTAATCATACATCCTCATAGCTTCTAAACATTAATAGCAAGAAATAAAAAGAAGAACTCCTAATCCCGAGGAGAGTCACAATAATGGGGGGTTGGGTTTCTTCTGAGAAGAAGAGAGGTAAGTAATGCAGGTTTTCAGCCTAATTATTACAAAATGTAGAACATAAGACTATCTTTTATAGGAAAAAGGTCTGAAGCCAGTTCAGGAGCCCTGATTAATGATTAATTCCATTAGGCCTCCTGCAATAAGGGTATCTGAACACTTATAAATTAAGGTGTTGCCTTAAATAAGAGGTAGGGTTTTGCCTTCTTCTGACCTTACAAAGGGCCAGCCCAAAGCAGTAAACCCAGCTGGCTGATGTGCAGCGCATGTGCATGGCTGAGCTGTTCTGAGCACTGATATAGCTGCTCCTCTCCTTGTAAATTAAAGAAGACGTGGAAATTACATGAAATGGAGTAGTGATACACGAGGTACGAAGGGGGAAAAGAATTCTCTTAAGCTGTGGAAGGCTTAAGGCCTTAAAACCTGGTGGAGGAGCAATAGGAATGGTTGGGTCGGTGGATGAATGGATAAATACAGACGTCAGATTTTAGCAATTCTTCAGATTAAGAGTTTCTAAAGGAAACATTGGAAAATTATTATTTCACATCTATGTAAGACACGGTTCTTTGGAGTTTATTCTGGGTTGCCTGACTTTGAACTCCTCATCAGGAGCAAAAGGGACCAAGGACCTTATTTTAAATCCTGGTTTAAAATGATGTCCCGCATTTATGGTTTTAAGGGGATGCAAGGGCCTCATTTGCTCTCCTCTACCCCTTGGCATCATCTGCCACCATTGGACAAAGTCCTTCCATCTCCTTTTCTTGCCTGGGTCCTCCTTCAGTATGCAGAAACCTGGAAGGAAGGCGGCCCAGGTCCTTTCTCTGCTCTCCTGCTCAGCCATGGGGTTTGGTACTTACTGGTGAGTTTGGGGAATGTGTTTCCCCATGGTGATGGGCTCCAGCAGAGCTGGTGTGGGCTGCCCCATGCTCTTCCATGCTCCCCTGGCATGGTGTAGCACAGGTATCATCTGTGTCATGAACCTTGTGTGTCCACATCCACCTGTCTCCACTGCTTGTAAAGACCAAATATTGAACCTACCTTTATAATTTTGGCCTATCTATGGCAGTAAAGAGGTTTCTATATATACACTAGAGTAGCAACATTACAGCATTAATATTTTTTCTCTTTCTTGACAAAATTAGCTCAGTCTTGCTTTTGTAACCCAGCTTTGTATGTAGCACATCATGCTTTCCAAAAACTCTTTTCTTTATACCTTGTTTCCCCAAACACTGTTCCAAATTACAACTGTTTTGTGTCACTGGTGGCTTCTGAGCTGGGGGAATTAAGGGAAGGTTTGGGTGTGCTTGTTACATTACCTTCTGTGGAACGGATGGGGATATACCATATGTGCGTCTGCAATTAGACATTTTGATTTCCAAAGTATTTAGTTACCATTTGCTGAACCATTGAGTAATTACCACAGCAAAATTGCACAATCTGTCAGTACGTCAGCTAAGTGTGCTTCTGGACAGCTTTATATGCACCTTCACCAGCGTGAAGCTTTCCCTGTGCTTCATTTGGTTAAACCTCAGTCCTTTTGGAGGAGAAATTCCTCTGGGCAGAGGAAATTTCAAGTAAGAGTGGAAATACCTACTACTGTCCACCTGCCCTGTGGAGGATAACTCACCTCAGAGGGAAAGTGCTGGTAAAGGTAATGAATTCCATTAAACATGGTGGCTTTTTAAGGCTGCAAAGTGCTGTTTTAGGAAACAGATCTGGAGCTGGCCACTCAGCAATTCTTGATTCCATAATTCCCTGAATTTAGCAATGGCACTTCTGCCACTGGCAGGGGGAAATCTTAAAAGGGTTACCCAGTACATTCAGTGGGAGAGGAAGGATTTCCAAGCTGAGAATGTGTTTAGGGTTGTAAGATGTAATTGTTTCGACTCTTTTTTTAGTCTCTAAGGGAAAGGTTTCTATTCAGGAATGGAAAATTAAGGTTACTTTGAACAGAGAAGAGCAAGAGGCATCATTTACTCCCCTCCCTCCTTCTCCCTACCAAATTAAACACTCAGAAATCTTGAGGAAATTGGGTCACTAATATGGAAATTTTAAAGTATTGATAATACCAACATGACAAGTTGTCACTTTGCAGTATGTTCTTAAACATGACTAAACCCTAATAACCAGGTTATTCTAGAATAATCAGGGTAACAGAATGGGAATGAATGGCAGTTACTGTAATTATTCTAGAAAGAGGACCAAAGCAAACAGAAATTCTCTCTAATTTTATATATTCCCAATAGGTGCACATAGTACATCATTATCACTATAGAAACTACTTAGTAGTTTCTCCAAAAATCAGCTACGCTTCACGGTCTTATGGGCCAATGTCTGAGCTGCACATGAGCCGGCACCCTCTAATTCAAACAGAGGTAAGCTCAGAGCAAGCTGCAGTAGGCTGCAGCAGACAAAACAAATTTCCTAAGCCAAACATATTAAATCCAATATATTTTTCATTGATTTAATAGACTGAAACTTTGGATACAACTGACACTTTCTGGATATTAATGGGCATTAGTGCTCAGAAATAGAAGGCGAGAGCTGAAAATGAGAGTATATAGACGTTAGGGAAAGAAGGTGCTACAGAGGGCTTTGCTCTATATGAAAGTTCTCTGCTGCAGGATGAAATCTGTAATTAAATAAGATACTCTACAAAATTCTTCAGTGACTTTGGCCCCGTTTTCAGC